ATTTTAAAAAATTAAAAACAAAAAAAAATTAAAACAGAAAATAGAAAAAAAAAATTAAAAACAAAAAATCAAAAAAAGAAAAAATTACAAATGCATTCAAGGATTAGTCGTAGGTACCGTTATTGGTTACTTACACACTGAGTCTTTTGTATCTAGTTTCGTAAACATTGCAGTGACTTCATCTGTTGCATGCATGTGCTTACTTACAAGTACAACGACCTGCACACATACATACACATACCGACACATTTCTCAAGTCATCAAATCATCAAAGTAATGGAGTTACTTAAGTCAAATTTAATAGTGTTTTAAAGAAAAAATTCCCGCTCTAAAAATTTGTTGAGTTTAATTTAAAAAAAGCGTAGCATATCTCAGGGCACTTAAGCACGTTATATCAGTTTATTATAGTTAATAGCAAACTTTTGAGTTGAGTAAAACAATGAAAAAAACAACAACAAGTTGATATATAGGCGTCATTAGCCGAGCTATTTAATGCCTTGTTATTAAGGGATTAAATGGATTTCCTCGGGTTAAATTTTTTTTTGTATAAAACAATTAAATATTTTTTTAGAATTTTGAATTGTTAAAAATAACATTTTAGCAAAACAATTCTCAAATTAAAAAAAAAAAAATTTTAACGCCCGCGTTGGTGTTATCCGCCTTACAGGATCATCTTAAGTGAGAAAATACGTGTTTTAGTTAAAACCTTAACTCAGCACTTGGACGAACGAAAAAAACTGAAAGTTGGATTTTTGGCAGACATTTTTAAAAAAAATTTTAAATTTCAGTGGAAATTTTGCGAAAATTTTTTTTTTATTTCAAATAGTTGTAATCAAAAGAAGAACCATACGTCTTTAAGAATTGTTTCCCAAGGAACTGAGTAACCTTTCATGAAGTTCGGTTAAGTAGTTCTCGCAAAATATTCTAGAGGTTTTGTAGAATTTAATAAGACAATAAATTCATGTAATCCTTAAGTGAACGTCATGTTTATTTGATCGTCTGCAAAACGTATTTCTTAATATAAATCTGTCGATACTTACGCCAACTAAGCCGCTCTTGCAATTGGAAAACGTTTATCGGATTTTCACTTAAGTTTAAAGGGTCTTTAGCTAAGTTTGAGCGCTACTCTTCTCTCCAAAAATATATGCGAGAGCACAAAAACTAAGTTAGCACTTAATTTCCGGATAAAAGAGTATAGGAGTACATCATTAAATCTTTTGTTATTTTGCCAGTCCTTTATATTTATGTCAGTTGCTTGTTCTATTCACCATATACTAACGAAACAGGGTTGGCACTGTTTTCAAATAGTTGCACCAAACCTCAATATACACTATTTATAACATCGAAAACTACACAAAGTTTAAACTCACCACTAAACACTCCATCAACACCACACTCAAATATTTATGGTCAGTAAAAGTTCTACGTTAGTTCCGACAGTATAGTGCAAATTGTAGCCCGTCGCTCGTTTATTTTTTGCATGCGAAGCGTCACATTTGCAACTACTCTCATCTATCTATCTCTAATTTTCTGCTCATATACACTCATATACAAACACATATATATATATTTTATTAATATTTGAAGCATCTTTTTGCATACCCACCCACCATTTATATCCAACTATTGACTTTTCATATACTATTCGTTGCATAACCCCATACAAACTTAACTATCACAAACTCTATCTTTCGCTCTATCTCTACATACTCTCATACATACATACATACACATGTATTTGTTTTAACTGTCTATCTAACTGTGGTATTGTGCATTTGACTTTTAACCAAATACTATTTTTCTTTGCATCATACATTTTGTTTATATATAAAAAGCAAAAAAAAAAACTATTATTTACTCGTGTCTCTTAGTAAGTGCATCCGAAGATGAAGAACGCTTGGTACGTGATCTCTTTCGTGGGTATAACAAACTTATACGACCCGTTCAGAATATGACACAAAAAGTTGGAGTAAGATTTGGTTTGGCGTTCGTACAGCTAATCAATGTCGTAAGTGTGCATTACTACTACCTACTACTACTAGTTAGTACTGCTACTAGTACTGTTATAACCAATACTATCACTACAACTATTACTCCACCTTCTAACTGCTCTAACTCTACGTACACCTGTATAACTTCCGTTTGTACGGCGACTTACTGGACCCGTAATGGTTTCGCACCAATACCGAAACCGAAATACTTACACATACCGTACGATAGACTACGTAACATATACATACATAACTACTTTGCTAATAATTGTTTTGAAATCACTCAGCGTATATTGTATAACTCAGTTGTTAAGTCATATGATTGCTCATTATTCATGAAATTTATTTTGTAATCATTATTTTTTCGTTGAATTGTGTGTAAATACAGTTTACAGCAAAAACCACGAACACACTCATATATAAAACAAATATTTGTATATAAATATTTAATAATTTTGCGAAATGTAAATAGCTCATAAAAGTCTTTTCATATTTATTTACCAGCTATATACTTCATAAAAGCATACAAAATACATATTTCAATCATTTCTATTATTATTATTATTTTTTTTTTTAATTTAAAATTTTGTTGTAACATAAAATGTCCTACATGAAATTTCACTCTATTGATAATGAACTCCTCCCCTTCATCGTTTATGTACGAAATTTGTAACTGAAACTGTTATGCACACATGTCTGTATAACCGAATTCAAACGCATATGCGATATCGAAATTCTAAAACAAATATATGTATATCTATATGCATACATATCCACATATGTATATGACTATCGAAAAACTCAGAATGAGAAAAATCAAATTATGAAATCAAACGTTTGGTTACGTTTGGTTTGGTTCGATTATCAATTGCAATGGGATGAGGCCGATTACGGTGGTATTGGTGTGCTGCGCTTGCCGCCCGATAAGGTTTGGAAACCGGATATTGTATTGTTCAATAAGTGAGTAGCAAATGCCAGCAATAATTTTAGTAAATAATTAATTTCAAAAAAGTACATTATTAACAAGTATTTTTAGTTTTTATATAATATACTTAAAAATATAAAGTCCAACACATATATGAAAGGCTTATTTTTAGTAAGTGAGTGACAAAAGAACAAGCAAAAGTTGGCCTGTACCACAGCCTTGACTTCACAACTGCAAGAGTACGCACTATGTTATTTGAAATTAGTATTTTAAAAAACTTCGGTAGCGCTCGTTTATAAAGTTTCCAATTTTTAGTTTTTTAAGGCCGAATAGATTGAAGTCACTTATTTTTAACTAATATCGTAGAACTCGCTTAAAAGGCAATACCTTTGGTTTAGTTATTTAAGCGAGTGCTCTTTTGCTAGCCAATTTAAATTTAGTCCACCAGATATGCATATTACACCTAGAGAACTCGATGAATTTATGAATATTTATGAAATTTCGTAAATTTTGTTATTCATTTCAGTGTTATGTTGCTTTGCGTACACTTTGCTAATTTAGCGAGTGTTCTATTGCAATCTGACTTAAAAAAAGTATATCACGGAGTGTGAATTTTTCTTTTCACACGTTTTGCACTTTAAGCGAATGTTCTTTTGGAATCCAATTCAAAAAATATATATAACGGAGTGCGTATGTTGCTTTTCGTACACTTTGCTAATTAAGCGAGTATTCTTTTGCTAACATAAATTACTTCTAATTAATGAAAACATAATGCATAGCAGAATTTGGAAATATATATAACTGCCTTGGGTTATTTTTTGTCAAACCTTTTGTTATTAAGAGAAATTTTCTTCATGGTTAAATAATTAAATTTATAGCAGCGAATACATATTTATATAGTTTTGCTATAAAAGCAGGTTTTACACTTATTATGAAAAAGAGTCATTATTGTATTAAAAGAAAAGCTCTCATAACCATTTACTAATATTAATATATTTTTCTCAACACTCAACTTAAGTGCTGACGGCAATTACGAAGTGCGCTACAAATCCAACGTGCTCATTTATCCGACGGGCGAAGTGCTCTGGGTACCGCCGGCTATCTACCAGAGTTCATGCACAATCGATGTCACCTATTTTCCATTCGATCAACAGACATGTATTATGAAATTCGGTTCGTGGACCTTTAATGGCGATCAGGTGTCACTGGCCTTGTACAACAATAAAAACTTTGTCGATCTGTCGGATTATTGGAAATCCGGTACTTGGGACATTATAGAAGTGCCGGCCTATCTCAATGTCTACGAAGGCGATGGCAATCATCCAACCGAAACAGATATCACATTTTATATAATTATACGTCGCAAAACACTGTTTTACACAGTGAACTTGATATTGCCAACTGTACTGATCTCATTCCTGTGCGTACTCGTGTTTTATCTGCCTGCTGAGGCCGGCGAGAAGGTAATATCCAACCATTGTTTAATTTGTCTTACACGGTTTTCAGCTTTTTCTATGTGAACGTTGTAAACTTCTTGAAAAATCTTATACACCTTTGTATTTATTGGTTTTTGTTTTCTAAATACCGCAGGTTACATTGGGCATAAGCATTCTGCTGTCACTGGTTGTGTTCCTATTGCTCGTATCGAAGATACTACCGCCGACTTCGTTGGTGCTGCCGCTCATTGCCAAATATTTGTTGTTCACTTTCATTATGAATACGGTGTCAATTTTGGTCACCGTTATTATTATAAATTGGAACTTTCGCGGTCCTCGTACACATCGCATGCCCATGTGGATACGTACGGTCTTTCTGCATTATCTGCCCGCGTTTCTGCTCATGAAGCGTCCGCGTAAGACACGGTTACGTTGGATGATGGAAATGCCGGGCATGAGCATGCCAGCACATCCACATCCCTCATACGGCTCGCCAGCTGAACTACCCAAGCACATCAGGTGGGTTGACAATTTTCTCTACAACTTTCATGTTTGCATTACATATCGGTTTGCTTTATATTTACATAGCGCAATCGGCGGCAAGCAATCCAAAATGGAGGTAATGGAGCTCTCCGACTTGCATCATCCCAATTGCAAGATCAATCGCAAAGTAAATAGCGGCGCCGATTTAGGCATTGGCGATCAATGTCGTCGTGAAAGTGAGTCATCCGATTCGATATTGCTTTCGCCGGAGGCCAGTAAGGCCACCGAAGCGGTGGAGTTCATCGCCGAACATTTGCGAAATGAGGATCTCTACATTCAAGTAAGTATTAACTGTGTGGAGAAATTTACTCGCCTTAATGTCGTGCACAATCTCGCAACAAAAAATATTGCTCAAAGCTATCCAAGACGCTACTCAAAGGTTAGGCGATAGCGAGAGACCTATTTATAGTTGCATCATAAATCACAACTTGTTGTATTAAGAATACACGAAATTTTCGAGCTCGTTGAATTAAAAAATCTTTGAGCTGGTAGTTTTTATTATTTTTTGTTGGTTCCATCATAGTTCAGTTTAGTCCGTTTGGCGTCAATCCAATCTCAACCACTAAGTATATTTGCATACCAACCCTGTTCATTTTTGCAAAAGGCTTCTCTTCTATACTCTTGCAATTAGCAGGTATCGTATATGCGGTATCTGCGGAGTCGAATAATTCGTGATAAGTCTTCGCTATTATGATTAAATTTCTGTAGTTTAAGTTTTCCGGAGAACTAAATTCAGATTTTGAGACATAAGATCGACTTATTTTTGGGCCGTTGAAAGGGTATTTGAGGTACTCATGTTGTAGATAAAGTTGAGTTTCTACCGATTGTCGGATAGCAGTCTTTCAAGATGTAGTGGTTTTGTTTCTGCATTACCGTAAAGACCTCTGCGGGCTTGCCGTCTACGCATTTGGCTCACTTAGAAGGTAATATAACGAATCGTCAGCATTTTTTCCACAGCTGCTACTTTTGTAGGGAACGGTTTATACTTAGGACGTTAGAAGATCAAGACAGTTTCAACCCTTAACTGTTTTGTGAATAAATTTGAAATAAAAATTCATTAGTTAGTGACTTCTGAAGCAAAAAAAGCGAAAAGTTTCCTTACAATTACTAAGAAGTTAATACAGCACTGTCTTATGCTCTATATATCCTTGGGCACCCGAACGCTTTATAAAGATACGTCTCAAATAAAATATTACAACCTTTCTTACAGACCCGTGAAGACTGGAAATACGTGGCCATGGTTATCGATCGTCTTCAACTCTACATCTTCTTCATAGTGACCACTGCCGGTACAGTTGGCATACTAATGGATGCGCCACATATTTTCGAGTATGTAGACCAAGATCGCATCATCGAAATATATCGTGGAAAATAAATCAACTTTATTAAATTTTTACGATGGTGGCGTGGCCATTACAACCGCTACTCCAAGAAAAAGCAAAATTGGAATTCATTGATAATAAAAAAAAAAAACACTCGGTGCGGGTTTTGTCACTAATCCGTTGTTAGTGAAGAGATATTTTGCATAAAGCAACAAACTTCAGCACATAACGGCAATAAAGTTTGAAGCGATTATTCTTGTATCACATACCCACACAAACACATACCACTTGGTACTCATGGAGTATGTGTGCCACAAATTGTCTTCGAATCAATTCTTCGATGTTAAGAATTCTATTATTTTAAGCGTTTTTAATTAGAATTTATAAGTAACATAAACTTATTGTAAGTGCAATGATTCATAAGGAAATTGTTATGTTAAGCGTTTTAAGTATTTACGTATTTATATGCTTATAATAAGGATAGCGAATTGGAAATAATTACGGCAGTTAAAATATCTAGAAAATCCGCGCAAATTAGTGAAATTACATATAAATAATAATTAGTAACAAGTAATACGAAGAAATGCTTCAGCTCATAAACTTAAACAGTAGCGTGAATTTCGCGAGCAGTTTACGAAACGAAATTCGTACTAATAGAAAAAAAACCTTTTATTATTGAGCGGAACCATAATCGATTGAATAAACATGACTTTGCTTTCAAAATTGCAAAAATTCTTTAATTTAAGTGGTTTAATTAAAGAGAAAATCTTTGTTCTTCTATGAATTAATTTGAGGTTAGATTGGCTCTGACCATGATGAAGTTCGAATATCAATTGGCCGTCTGAAAAACAACGAAGCGGCGAGGGCGATGGATTGCTAGCCGAGCTATTCAAACATGGCGGCGCAGAACTAAAAAGGAGCATACATCAGTTCTTTGCAAAATATGCTGGGACGAAATCATGCACGACGATTGGAATTTAAGTGTGCTCTACCCAATCTAAGTCAACTAACGTGGGATAAGTCTCCTAAACACCGCGTATAAGGTTCTATCGAGCTTATTGTATGAAAAATTAAAGCCCACATAACTCATTGGACCTTATTAGTGTGGCTTTAAGCCGCGAATATCAACAGCTGACAAACGCATGGTTAGTTTCGCTTTCTCCATAATGGATAAGCCAGCAAAGGAAATGAGTCTGGTGGTTATCATAATAAGACAGAATATTTCATGTCATCAAACAAACAGTCGTCGCACCCGCGACTATATCTAGGTCCTACGTAATAGTCGACAGTCATAACTTTGAAGTCGTAGAGAATTTAGTCTATCTTAGAACCAGCATTAACACTAACAACAACCTCAATTTCAAAATCCAACGAGAAGAACCTGGCTGCTTTTGATATCTCGAATTGGCGCCACGTAACGAAAAGAAGAAACGACTTCCGCGTTTTGTAAATTCGGCTATAACCTCGTAAGCGCTAACATTATTTCCTAACTTTCCATTAAGCAAGATTAAATATGATTTGGTTTACTGAAATGAGAGTTATATATATTTTTATTTTATTTTGAGTTTTTAACTTTTCTTCAAAAAAGTTTGCCTTCATTTTTATATTCTAATATTGCAATATTAAAGCCAAACGAACCATCTTTACAAATAAAGTGCAGAAAGAGTGCAGTTTCCTGTATTCCAGAAAAAAAAATTTGCCGAATAACTTAATATTTTAATTCCCGCTAATTAATGATCAATTCTTCGCAGATTTAGTTTATTTCCGAAAAAATGTAAAGTCCTAGGTATAATTAAGTTATAGAACAAAAACTACTCTTTGAACTAATTGGAAACCAAGCAAAAGGAACTCAAAACTATTAATAATTATTTGCCTGCTGTCGCACTGTAGCCAATTTGAAGCTCAAGTGCCGAACAAAGTGAAGTGAACTTTTAATTTATGCACAGCATTTGGCAGTATTGTCTGCGCGAGAGCTTTGCACAACTAGTTGGCTGCCTGGCAGGCTGACTGACTAACTGCCGTGCTGAGGGCTAAAGAAGTTCTACGGCAAGTCGGCGGTCACGGGCAAAAGTGGCAATGACGACGTCAACGCACTAGCACATCGCACAAGATCGGCCACGGCAGCGACAACAGCATAGGCATACACAAGAATGGTGCTATTTTGCAGTAACAACAACAACAACAAATAGCTTTAAAACATAAAATCGTGATTTACCTTTTCGTTTTCGATACTTTTTCTACTATTTTATAAATGTACATACACTCGTGTGCTATTTTTATGCAGCATTTTAATTTTATGCTTTTATTTGGCTTTTTTGCTTTTATTTTTGTTTTTCATCCGTTAATATATTTTATTCTCCGCTGTTTAGTGTCAAGCGCGGCGAGTTGACACTCTGACACCAACTAGGTGGCGGCGACGACGACTGCGGGGCGGCCCATGTCGACATACCAGCCGCGCGCCAGCATCATAAATTGCTCCGAGCCGTGTTTGAAGCAGATCGTGCGCCACAGTTTACACCAGCCACAACTGAGCCGTCGCGTAGAGTTCGAGCATAAGCCGCAGACTGCGAGCGCGGCTGGGCCAGAACGGGTTCGCGACAAGCAGCACCTACAACCACAGCGCGCACTTCATCATACATACGCACACTTACACGGTGGTTATGCTTTGCTCAATGTGCTGTCGCGCAAGCGCAGAGAAAATGCAAAATATGAAATTCAGTCAGTCAGCGCAGTCAGTCGTTCATTCATAAATTTCTGCATTAGCAACAACATTGCTGCGCTAAAGCTGGGTGCCATGTGCTCGCTCGCCATTCAATACGCGGCGCTGCGCACCTAATTGCGAATCATATGAATGAATTTCGCATTCAAATTGATGGTTTGTTTTTGTAATTCAATTCAATCAGCAGCCAATTGAAGTTTTGAGACTTTGCTAGTACACATACATATAAATGTGTGTGGGTGCGTGTATGTGGCTCATATAACTTGGCCATTAGCGTGTCTGAACTGTAAATCTTACGACAGCGTTTTATTAATGATCATTTTTTGCCAATTTGATTTTTTAGACTTTTGTTTTGAGCATGGTTTTGAAATGCTGTCATTCTAGTTCGTGGTTGTGACTGTACAACATCCGGTGCACGTCAGCGTTGAGTTTGAAGCTTTTAATTCTTGCTCTTTTTTCATTTTAGTTTTTGTTGTTTTTTCTTAGTCTTGCTTTCAATTTATCAAGTTCAACGGCAAACTCAGCTATACACACACACATTTACGTCGAGTTTTTTATGTTACACGCATTTGTTACGACAAAAAGTCATAAAAAGCCTAAGCATTGCGCCTGGCAGTTTGTCTATAAAATCGTTAACATTTGTCTTCTTAAAATGTTTTTCAGCCCTTCACTCCACTACATCCTCACTGTCATTTAAGTGGTATTGAATTACCAAACAATTTGTTTCTGTGCCAGCATTGTAAAGCACAAATGTGTGAATCTGAGAAGTGTCATGAGCAGCCACCCTTTCTCTCATTTTCATAGATAAGTTCTATATATAAACATGTGTATGAATGGCATATATGTTTATATAAAAAATTACATACGTATTTTCAGTCAAGTGAATTACGTACATGTGTACATACATAGTAAGTGTTATCAGCGTAAATAGCATGGTTTTGCTAATAATAATGGATTTTATATTGTATACTATATACACTACCATATATGTACACTTATGTATATATACTATATAAACTTTTTCAGATTAAAATCGACGAATTTTATTTTAATTTTCGACTATAAAATTCATTTTTCACTGAAAAATAGAAGAAAGACTATGAAGAAATACTCATCAGTTTAAAGAGACAAAATACTTTTGAGTTTCTTACATATACACGTATTTAGAACTAAATTAAGCGGTTGCAAAGTTTCACGGGTTTCAAAAAATCGGTTTTTTATTCTTATTTATCATATTATTATATATCTACAACACCTCTAGAATATTGTCCTAAATTTTTAAGTTGGTCCCAGTAATAGTTTCAGAGAAACAGCCTTGAGAACTTGTGCGCCGGACACCAGCTAGCCCCGCCTTTAAACGCATTTTTTCGAAACTGTGTTTTTTGAAGTCGGTTGAAATATTTCTCATTTGAAAAAAATTTAACGAAATTTTGTTGAAATTGAAATTGTTTTGTAAAAATGTCTGCCAAAAATTAGTTTTTTTTTACCTTCGTCCAATAAAAAAATACTCATAAAATATTTAATTTTTTATATAAGAAAAAAATTGTTGAAAAAAGGCTGTTTTTGCCCGAGGAAACCCTAACAGCAGATATGAAAAGTTTTAATTAATAAAATCATTACCTCAACTTGGTTGTACCAGTCACCGAGCAAACTCTGCGCACACACACTCAGTTAACTCTTGGAACACTATTTGCAGAGTTGCTATTCCCTCGAGTTACAACCTGTGCCTCTTAATGACAGATACCAGAAAGATTTGTTAATTTTAAAAACCTAAGACAGACAATTATTTTCGATGATGAATATTTTCTGCGCGTTACTTCCAAACGTTAGACTTATGAAACGAACTCTGCGCACTTGATGGATTGTATTAACTAAATTGATATATACGCAGGGGTGGATCCATTTTGAATTTCATATTCTCACATATTTCAGCACTTATTTTACATCATAAAATCAATATGGTGTTATCTCATTTTACTAAATCTTTCTCTTACGTTCCACAGCAATGTCGTAGTTTATGTTGAGGAGTGCTAAGCATTTGTAGCTGACAAAGTGACAAGAACGTCAAGAAGAGTATGAATACATATCGGATATATATTATTTCCTTATCGCAAGTGCTGAGGTAGAAAGCACTTGCGTTCTCATAGTCATTTGCACCATTGCTGTTGCCAAAAAGCTACCTTTGCTTTAAGCTTCGATATTTGCAGTTCTTAGTTTTCTAGAAAAATTTTCGAAAAATGTTTAACTAGGCATTCAATGAGTACAGTTATATCTTTTTCTTCTAAGTTTTAAATATTGCATAATCGTATCTATAAGTGGAATGTATGCAGAAACCCTATAGAAGACTTGACAGCTTTGAGATGAGTGATTAATACGAGGATTCTGACGACAAAATATTCTGGCTTTTTTTCACTTCAACATCTTATTTTTCAGCCATCTGTGAGCCTTTGAAAAAATTGCATTAAAGTTAAGATCAGAATGCATTCGTCTAGTAGTCGGTGTTGCACCCCACATTACTGTTCAATGGAACTCGTTTTCAGTCGTTCAAAGAGATCAAAAATATCACTGAAGGTACTGAAGGCCATGCCCCAAAACAACACAAAAGAAATATTAATAATAATTAAATATTTTGGAGTTTATTTCCAACTTTCGGATATTTTTTCGCAAAAACTTTTGATCCGGAATATTCGAGTAACTAATTGAAATATGCACGATCCACACAAAGTAGCATGTAAAGAAGATGCGAGATGAAATAGTATCAGCTTTCAGCCGAAAATAGTAAAATTATCGAATCGGTAAAGTATTTGTTGATAACTTACACTAATCAAATAAAACTCATCTTTGGAAAATATGAGCGTAAAAAATATGCAAACTGTAGATATTTAAAGGTGAGACCTAATAGTCAATATTAATTCTTACCCAAAATCCACCTGATTCACTAAACACTTTAGCTACAACATTTTCGGTATGCAAGCACATTCTATGGTGCCTCAAATTATTATTT